TACAGGGTGATCTTTTTTAAAGTGACAGTGTTTGGAGCGCCCTGTAGCGCGATCTAATAGCCGAAATGGCACCAAACTTGGTATTTAGACTAATCAAGACATGGGAAAAAGGATTCCGTGAAAAAAAATTTAGTTCCAAAAATCGCCGCTAGGGCATTTTGTGGCGCTGCTGTAGCTTACAATAACGAGAATTAGCATAAAACACGGGTATCAAAGAAAAATGCAAATGTTGTGCGATGACAGCGCCAGTAATAGGGGCTATAAAAGCAAGTAGTAGACAGCTCCGACAAATAATCTCAGCTGAAGTAAACGAGCTCCAGTGGACATGCCTCTCACGTTACCGGAACGTGCGTTACTGGTGAAGCTGTATTACATGAATCAATGTAATGCATCCGCAGCTCTTCGGGAATTTCGAACCAGAAAAAAATTACGAAAAGGGTCCTTTATCGCTGAATGGTCTTAAGAAAATGATTAAGAAGTTCGAGGAAACGGGGTCACTGACCATTCACGCTGGGAGAGGACGTAAACCAGTATCAGAAGATGTAATAACTGATGTGGCAACTGCAATTGTCGAAGGATCGCAGGGAACCATTGCTGGTACTAGCAGCGCCCGGGGTGTAGCTCGACAATTGGACATGAATTATTCCACGGTATGGAGAGTTTTGCGGCGCGTTATTGGATTTTACCCCTACAAAATCAGCCGCTTGCACGAACTGAAACCAAGTGATTATGATAAGCGAGTGACATTCGCTCTATCGTTTCTTGCCAGGGTAGAAATTGATGATGCTTTCCCATGGCACATTCTGTGGGGAGATGAGTGCCATTTTTATCTCAATGGGTCCGTAAACACACAAAATAGCGAATTTGGGCTTCTGAGCAGCCCCACACCGTGCACGAAATCCCATTAAATTCCCCAAAAGTCACTGTTTGGTGTGGTTTCACAGCCGAATTCGTAATTGGGCCCTTCTTTTTTGAGACCATCACTCCGACAGGACTCCAAACATGCACCATAAATGCAGAAAGGTACCACGAAATGCTGCAAACGTTTGTTACTCCACAACTTCAACAAAGAAATCATCCCCAACAGAAAATCTTTATGCAGGATGGTTCTCCGCCACACATTAGTAATAAGATACAACAACTGTTGCGCCAAAACTTCACTGATAATAGAGTCAAAGGTGGCAGTTTTCCGGCCGCCTCATTCCCCCGACCTCACCGCCATGAGATTTTTGGCTCCAGGTTTATTTGAAATCTCAAGTTTATATTGGTGGAGCATCAAATTTGTCTATTTTAAAGGACAACATAACAAAGACAGTGCAGAATATTCCTCGTGATATGTTACATACGGCTGTGGAGAACGTTGTGAACAGAATGCACGGTGTTATTTCTGAGAACGGTGCTCACATTGAATGTGGTCTAATTCCTCACCGAGGAAGTTAATGTAGTAAATATACATTAATAATGTAACTGAACGATTGTATGTCTTGATGTTCCATGTCTTGATTAGTCTAAATACCAAGTTTGGTGCCATTTCGGCTATTAGATCGTGCTACAGGGCGCTCCAAACATTGTCACTTTAAATAAGATCCCCCTGTATATTATATCCTTAATATCCTTGTATAATATATGTGTGTGTGTGTAATGAACATAAGCATAATTAGTGGGGATGGAATGAAACTTTGATCTATGACCGGATGGTGATGGTATAATTGCATAGTAGAAGGATGAATGATTTACACACAAACTTGCCCTCAGTAAACAAATAGTTTATTTTTGAACATTCTTGAAAGCTATTTTTTCCATGTCACTGCATTACAGCGGCGAATAATCATTGCAGGATTTATTACATTTTTGAAACAATGGAGGAAATCAAACAGTGACCAGACGATGTTAAGTTTTACTAGCAGAGAAAGAGGTAGAAGCAAAAGTGCGCAGTTAACCAATATTGAAGCTCGCCAAGAGAAGGTTTCTGTGTAAGTTACGAATTAGTTACCACATCAGTCTTATTTAGTCAGATGTATGGACTGATCTAGAAATGAGGCAGTCGAGAAGAATTTTAATGCATTGCAGATGCTAGGAGGGAGGACACTGCGTCTTTTGTGGCTCGCAAACATATCACAGTTTGGATTGCAACATAACCTTGCCCACTATTGTCTTCAATCCAGTCACTTAATACTTTTTCCGAGTTCTGGGAAAGATGCCGATCCATAACGCAGGATTAGATTATTTTTAGATTTATGTGTATTCCTTAAAATAGACAAGTTTTTTCTCCAGTCCCGGATCGCCTTCTTATTCACGTGATGCAACACCGTACTTTCCGCAAAAAAAAGCTACTTTCAGCTTGAATTTTACAGTGTAATATGTTCTCTTTTGTTATGTACAACTCGTTGCAGGGAGTGTGTGGTTCTGAAAAGAGCTGTTTTTTGTAGATTCTGATAAATCAGATATTACGAAAAGCAGGAAAAGTAAAAAAAAACCACGTGTACGATCAAGATAAATAAGATGCAATCAATAACTTATTCGGTATGGTTACAGTCACTGATTTGATGCATTTATTTTAACTAAAGAGCGACTAGCAGATATTGTAGAGATTAAATTGGTCTCTGATGCTAGATAATGAAATGAAATTACAAAACGGGGGGAGAATAAATAAATAATTTGGTATCTTTTCTGTATGAACGTGGCCACGTATAAATTGAAATCCTACTTCCAAGTTTTTTCTTTCTCCCTTAAAATTTTAAGACTTATACGCGGGTTTAAAAGAGGTAGCATAACAGAACTATTTAGATGAAACCAAATTATTTTATCCAATGCCATCTAGGGCCAATGAGAACAACTTCCAGCGATGAACCTCCAGCTGAGATGAGGATAGATTCTCCAATACTGTCTCTCTGACTCGAATGTTAATTCTAAATGTTAGGTGTTCTGTTTTGGTGCATGTTCTGTTTTGATGCTTATTCTCTTTGTAACTGTTTTTTGTGCTCTGTTAATAAATATATTCAGAACTAGCTCATGTTTGTGTTAATAGAAGAATGCCTGCAGTAGGATTTAAAAAAAAAAAAAAAAAAAAAAAGATATCAAAACTTCAAAAATCACTTTCACTGTCCATTCTGCAAAAAAATTCTTCATAACAAATATTACTTTTGTAGCATTTCAAAATATATAAATATATAAAATTAGAACAACTAAGAATTACATTAAATTGAAAAAAAGTGTTTAAGTTATTTATTATAAAGTACAATCATAAAATGTGGTAGTTTCTAAATGATCGTATTTTTTATTTTTGAAGGAAACATTATATACTTTTAATGAGAAACGAGCATTAAATGGTATAAAAGGTGAAGAAGACATATGTATCAGTTGATTAAATTGCATCCTATGAGGTGACTAACTTAGGTCCTACATGAAAAACAAAGATTACACTTTACTTGCTTTCCTTTCAAAAGGAGAAAATTTTTCTTAGAAGGAGAAATTTTAATTACTTAATTATTTAAAAAGACTGATCTGTACTTTTCTTTTACTTCACTATTTCTTCGGGAAAAATTTTGATATTCCCTCATTTTTCAAAAAAGTTAAATTTTTCCATTTTTTTGTACCCATTCATTTTTTATTTTCCTAACTTTCTGTTTGAGGGGGAACCTTGCAAAAGAACTGTTCTGTAAATGCACACAGTTGTTAAAACTCGGAGAAATATCATTTGAAGATTTATAAGCTTTAATGTAAAAAATACAATTATTCTTCTTTCCTTGTAACTTGAGCAAATAGTCTCAAACTGGAGGTCTATGGGCTACATAAGGCCCTTTGATGCAATTTTACCCAGCCCATGAATAGATTTCCCATACATTAATCAGCATTATTATGATATTGATCATTATGACAAGAATTTAAATGATTTTTAGTCCAATTTTACATTATTTTCATTAGCATTTAAAATGAACATGAGTAATGCTCAGTAAATCTACTAATGGAGCTAATTAATTTACACTGTGATATAAATCTTATTCGAAAAGTTAAAGATAGAGATTTGATGGGTTTTTTTTGGGGGGGAGGGGTGTTTGTCAAATAAATACCCTCAGTTACAAATATTTTAAATGTAAGAATTTTACAGATGTACATAAGAATATATGCACATTTGGAAGTACATTTAGAGATATCAATAGTGTTTTCTGCAGTTCAAAATTAACAAGTCTGCGAAAAGAACCAGACTGCCCGATCAGCACCTCCAATTCACAATAATTTCTAGAACATCTTCTCTAATGTTAAAATTGTTATCAAAATCAAAACACCAGTAAGAAATAAAGAAGTTTATAAATATTTACATGCAAATATATATGTATTTATTTGGTATGCATCAAAGAAAAATTTAGTAAATAGAAGAAAGAGGACAGTTTGTTATTATTTATTCGCAAGAAGCTTTCTCCTGCTTGGAAAGTTTTTGTAGTCTGTTTATTTTTAGTTTGGGTAAGTTATTTAATGGTTAATTCTGCATATTAAAATTATTTAATATTTAGCTGATGTCTGAATTACAACATTTTAGATTTCAGACAGAAAAAAGGTATAAATTTGAATTTTTTCTTTGCGTCCTTATTATTACTGATTATGTGTGCTTTGATAAATATTTACATAATGAAAATTTAGTTTAAAAATTTTTATTTTGTTTAAAAAATATCTAACCACATGCAATTTGAGTTTGAAACCACTGACTAAGGCTATCTGTATTTTGATTCTGATGCTATGCTTATCTGTATTTCCCATACTAAATTTCAAACACACATACACATGAAAATTGAAGAAAGAGGACAAAAATAATTGCAACATTTAAATTTTTTAGTTATTATTCACAAATTCCATACCACTTTATAAGTTTACATGTACATAAAAGCATGAAGATAAAAGGAGGTAGCACATTCTAAAAAACAAAGACATTGCAGTAAGATGATTTTTTACAATGCATTTTTTTTCTTTACACGGTAATTTATTTTCCTGCTATTGCGCTGCAAGACAGTCATCGCTTTATCACATAGCTGTTCAATAGCACATTCATGAGATCATTAAAAAGATGGGACAAAATGATTTATATGAATTTACAGAAATGAAAGAATTAAAACTTGATGGGGATGGAACATTTTTTTATGTGTTATTTGCAAGTTCAAAATTTTCAGCACATCAGGTATATTTTTCTGTCTATCATAAAATAAAAATCAATACTTTATTCACAACTAATATTAATAGTGGAAGTACATTTTGCAAAGGGAATAAAATATAAATGCGATACAAAGATTTCCACAAAACATAAATTATCTGTACTGTTTCTATTACAAGTTTTACAAGGGCACACATAGAAGCTAATAAAATTTCTTCCTACAAATTGTCCTAACTAATTAAAAAGTGTTGTAGTTAAAAACATTTCACTCCTTGATTGCATGCTAAAAAAAGCTACTTTTAAATACAGAGGGGGATAACGATTAAAACAATTCAAAGGAATTTTATGCAGAAGACAGATGATTATCATTAAAAATTAGTTAAGATACTTTAATTATTCTGTCCCCTTTGCAAAGTTACAATTTTGATGGGCTATATTGATAAATTTTAATACCATACAGAATAAGAACTGAAATTTTGAAATTTACTCATTACAAAAGAAATCCAGCTAGGCAATTAACAAAAAGATTCAACGTTAATCAATATTTATAAAACAAAACAATGCACTTAACAGACATTAACAAAAGCTATAAAAGTACAAATATAATAAACAAGTGAAATGTACATCTAAATGACAAACGATAAAATTTCAAACAAAAAGACTTTATACAGTCATTGTACAAGACATTTTTCAAATGTTTTTCTTCATTCTGATTTTGAATCATAAAATGAATTTCTTACAAAACTATATACATTTCAAAAAACTATCGTTTTTAGATAATGAAAATAATTAGCTATATATTTTCAAATCTGATAAGTAACCTTTTTATGTTCTTATGAATTATATTACTTCTGTACTCAAATTTGTATAATATTACTCATGCAGTTACATGACTACCACTCAGTTTTATTTCTAATAGGGGCACAATAATTTAAAAAATGGCCTCAGTTTTACCCAAAAGAAAATTAATAGAAAATTTTTGATTATTTTGTGACACTAGATTAGAAATCTAGCTGTATCTTCAGATAAGTACCATATTTATTTGCATATATTTCTCCATATATTTTTAATGTAAGATTCTTAACTCTTGTTACACAAGTACAATTCGGAAGGAAAAAAAGAACAGTATTGAAAGCAGTAACTGTAATTTACTTCTCTGAAATATATATGTTTTAATCTGTTCCATTTTCCCCTCTCTTTAGAATCCTCAGAAACGGTATTTGCCAGATAAATTTCCCCCTAATTTTCTAAGCATTTTTGGGGGAAAGGGGGGATGAGAAATCTATGCTAATAAATATGGATCAAATTCTTAGAAAATAAGGAATTTTCAAATTTAAGGAATATACATATTTACAAAATTATAGCTTTACATGTTTATTTGCAACTAATGTATGTACAGAAGTAAAACAATGCAAGACTGATTTTATTATTTTACACCACAGTGATAGCAATAAAGGCAACTCACTTTAAAAGACCTCTTACAGAAATTAAATTCTGCCTTAAAATACAACTTTCAGTAATCAACAATAATCTCCGAATACAACATAAAAGCTCTAAAAAATTCTTATTAAACATAGATCATTTACCATTGGATGGATAATGCCCATTATCTTTACATAGCACATTATGAAACTGTGATTTAACATTATATGGATACTCCTTTGGGAAGACACTATGGTTCACCATTCCTTTGTAGGCCATTGGACTAGTTTGAGAGTTGTTAGTTTGTTTAGTATTTACAGCAGTGGAATTCACAACTGAAGTCCAGTTTGATTGAAAAAATGGAGGTATCACATAAGGGGTGAATTGTGAATGGCGCGTGGTACTTGGCATATATAAATTTTTGGCAATGTCTTTTGAATATGCCGCAGGTGGCATGCTGTTCACAAAACCTGGAGGTAATTTGCTGTGCGTGCTAGCAGGAAACATTGCATTGGTTGGAGGCATAACAAGTGGTGGGCCGGACACTGGTGGAGTCACTGAACTAGTCATGATAGGGGGTATTCTGCTATTGCCTGACGAATAGCTATGCCTGGCAGCTTCTTCTGCTGCCAAGTCTTGAAGGGCTATGAGGGTAGGTAAGGGCTTTAGAGATGAATGCATATATGGTGGGGCAACTTGTGATGATGGATTCGGAGAAATGGGAAGTGGAGGAGTTATGTTTTCAATGCCATTATCGTTACTTACATTTGATTTTTTCTTGATGGACAAATCTAGGCACACACCTTCCTCAGGTACAGGGGAAGTACTGACTGTGATAATGGGAGCAGAGGTCCTAGATGGAGCCACTTGAGGAGGCTTCTTTTTTACACTGAGATCAAGTACAACAGTTTCATAGTCATTGTGCGTTGATGCTGTTGTCTTAGGTATGTCACTAAGAGGTGATGTGCGATATGTCTGCTGCCTTATAAAAGGTAACAATGATGGCCTTGGATTGACTGCAGGCAGCATAGAAGGTAATAGATTATTACTGTTTTTGAAACGTTTGGGTTGATTAAAATATGGGCCATTTGAGTAATATTCTGGCTTTATGCTTTGATTAATAGTCTGCTGATATTTAGGAGCAACACTAGCATTTGCCATCACAGAACTGTGAGTTACTGCAGCTGTATGGAATGGTTTCTGATAGAGCGCATTGTTTCTAACATCATTCCTAGGTACTGAACTATAATTTCCATTTGCAATGGTATCACTATTTCGATGACGATGTGAGCTTGCATACTTTGATCTTGGTGACTTTGGACAGTTCAAAATACAAGCATTATGCTTACTTTTAACATTATTAATAGGTACCTTACTAGTCCCTATGGCACCTGGAGTTTTACAAATTGAGGGCACGATGACTTTATCATGGAGTTCTACCGTCTTTTCAACAGCAGTAGATGGTGTTTTGCAAGCCACAACTTCATGGACTCCTTTTGTTAACCACTCAGCAACTTTACCAGTCACTGAATAGCCTGGTTGGCTTGGAATACTTAATTTAGAGCTCGAGAACGGCACAGACGATGCTCCTTCTTTCGGAGAGATGTTTCGACATGTATCCACATTTTGTTTGGGAGATATTGATGGAGAAGGTGACGTAGCTGCATATTCAGTATGTTGAATGACAGAAGGTCTTCGCTGTGGAACCAAAGGTTTCTCTTCACCAGTAGGTGTTTCAAGTGAAACTGCACTAGATACAGACATAGAACCCACAGAATGTCTCCCAGTATGCATTAGATAATCTCGTGCCACATCAGGCTCTGATCGAGTACCAGCTTTATAAGAACCTGGTCTCTGATTTTTCAAGAAACCTGGTGCATAATTATCTGAGCCAGAATACAAAGATGACTGATAAGATGGATATTCAGAATTTCCAGGATAGCCACACCAAGATTTTGCATTGTTTTCAATCGGTTCTGTTTTGACAAATGCTGGCAACACCTTTTTTTCTACAGGAATGCTAACTTGTGATTCTTTTGGAACTGTATGCAGTCTTTTCTGGGTATGATTTTCTAGCTTGTTTACTGTATGATTTTCAAGCTTGTTTATCGTATGATTTTCAAGCTTATTTATTGAATTATGAGCATCAGGTGCTGTTCCTGGAGGAAGAAATTTAGAAATGCAGTGGTTGACAGTATTCACTTTACTTTCTGAAACAAGTTTATTTTGGCTTGGAAGTGCAGGCACGTTTTGATTAGATACAGTTTCTACAGTTTCAGATTTCACTTTACTAGGCTGAGGCACACCATTAGTCTCTGCAGATTCTGATTCCAAATTTCTACATTTATCCTGATTAAAAGGTGGTATTTCAGGTATAGGAGTTTTACAACCTCGAGTAGAACGAGACTGGCGAACCTGAAAAATAATTTAAAAAATTTAATGATTATTTTTTTAAAAAGTAAACAATGTTTAATAAAAATTTCCTTTTTTTTAGCAATGCTTTAAGCATTTTATACATATCCCCCCCAACAAATTATAATGATTTACAAATAGCTCATTAATTATTAACTTCTCACCTTTATCACATTAGTGGCTATGTTTAAATTAAACATAATTATATAATAAGAGAAGTGTAACATTATTATTTTTATATCTGTATGTATAAGATGAACTAAAAGGTACTACTTTAGCAAATTGAATTAGTGATTACGAATAAATTCTAATATTTTTTCACTGTATATAATACTGTAATAAACCATGTTTAATAAACTCTTTTAATAATGCTTAAAACTTTGTAACTTCAGAACAAGGCAAGCAAAAAATGAATTTGCATAAGAACATTTATTAATATGTACAGGAATACTTATTTACAAATATTAATTAAATTTTTTATCTTCACCAATTGAGGCACTATCAAATAATTAAAACACCAGGCACTAACAGATAATTAAAATATCTTTAACCAGTTTTTTAAATATTTGGAAGAGAAATAATTGGCCTTGATCTAGTTTTTAAAATACTTAGAAAGAAAGAAATATAAATATTTAAAAAATTTTAAAATAATTATACTTATTAGATATTAATTGTATCCAACATACTCGTAAATGAAGCACACATATAATATGTTCAATGTAAATAATAAACTGTACTAACAAAATTTTATTAAAAATAATTCCCATTTTAAATTTTAGATTCTGCAAGTTCAATATTCATTATTTGTTCTCCTTCATTATTTGTTCTTCAGAAGAAGGCTTACACTTTAAAACCTGCATGTGATCTGACTCACTGAGGACTTACCCAAAACTGACCCACTATACATTCAAAATGCAAAATATTTAGCTTTTCATTTTAACAAATCCAATTACAAATAAAAACTTAGGTGCATGGACTTATTAGTATTTCTCAGTAACAGATGGAAATAATTTCGTTTATTTTATCATCCTGAGGTATTTTTTTAATGACAAGTAATGAAATCCTTATAACAGGAATAAATGAAAGGTACTAGATTTTAATGATATTTTCATGCATCGAAAGATACCTATGCATAATCCTTCAAATAACTCTTCTAGTTTAAAAATTCAGCTTTCAAAAAGGTACTTCTACACTAGGGTCAGATCAACAAAATTAAATACTTAACTAGTTTAAAAATTCAGCTTTCAAAAAGGTTTAAAAAGTAAACAATTTTTAATAAAAATTTCTTGTTTTTAGCAATGCTTTAAGCATTTTATACATATCCACACTAGGGTCAGATCAACAAAATTAAATGCTTAACTTCTCTCATCTCAAATAAAAATATTGTATATAATATCATGAAAGCATTAGCAATATCACATGACTGCAATTTTAAGTTAAAAACATTATAAAAATTTAATTTTTTGAAAGAAATTTCCATTTAGTAAGTTATTATTTAGGGAGGAAAATAAAGTTTGTAAACTACAAAACTAGCCCTTTAAAATAACTGAATATAAACTTCCAGGTATTTCATAGAAACTCAGATTTTATGCAGTATAAAAAAGCAGGTCAAATGCTAATCTGAAACAAACGCTTCTGCATAATCATTTCTCTAACATGATTTATTGACAGAAAATTCATTTCCCAAACTTATCCAAAGTAACTCTGTACGAGTATTTCTATACAGACCTTAAAATTTTATAATTATATCTTAGGTGATTTTGTTTATGCAAGAATGGATTTTCTTTTTATTTGTTTGACAAAGTTAATTACTGAAAATATCTTTATCAACTATTATATTTAAATTAATTATATGTCTGGTGATTTTGTTTATGGAAGGATGGATTTTTTTGTTTTGCTTGACAAAGTTATTTACTGAAAATATCTTTATCAATTATTATATTTAATCTCAGGTAATTTTGTTTATGGAAGAACGGATTTATTTTTTGACTTTATTAGTTATATATTGAAAATATCTTTCTCGTGAAAATTTTTTTCTACGGTGATAAAAATTTATATTTTATACATTTTTACTAAAAGTTTCCATAACTAAAACTGTTACTGTATGAAAGCCTACCATAATAATTTATTTTTTAAATTGAAACCATGTATTTAAAATCAATCATTGAAGAGATATTTAACTGTCAATTATTTTTAAACACTCTGTATAGGAATGAAAGTAACATACATTATTTTTGGAGATTTAATACATCCATATGTTTTATTTGTTATGCATAATGCAAATATTTGCAGACCTGTCTATTCAAATTGTTCTTCCATCCTTTATATTTTACAAGCATTTTCTTGCGAGCTCATTCACAAATCATTTAAAAGTTATACAAAGGGGGGTAAAATGGTTAATTTCTTATTTTTAACTGACAAATGCAAAGCAGTCATAAAACTTATTTACAACAGTACACATAACAACTAAATAATATTATAAATAATGCAAATTCATATTTGCAACATATACATACCCATTTTCTAGCAGCTGCATTCTTCCTACGGATTTCATCCCACTTCCTCTCTTTCTCTGCAAAGGTTTCACTTTGCCCCTTCTGAAATATTAAGTTTATTTTAATAAAACAGCTTTCTTTATTATCTTACTTTAAATATGATTTTGTAAAGCCAACTTGTTAATGGGTTCAACAACTAAATAACATAAAAACTAAAAATATAAAAATAAACTTATTCATGTTAAATTTATACCATTATTATAAAAACTACATCTATGATTTATATTTATTTAAAAGTTTATTTTACTGGTTTTTATCTGTAACTTGGAACACTACGTTTTTACCCTTTTTAACATTTTGTTATGATTTATAAACATTAATTTCATGGGAGTGCAGTTAATTAACTGTCAGTATCTCCTTTTCCGACATCGAAAAATAAGATCATGTAATACATGAAGGTAATTATTATATTACACAGCAAAAAACATACCTTTTAAAATTTCAGACTAATTCTTGGATGAGGTGAACGAAGTTAATTTAAAATTAGGGTGTATTTTAATACAACAACATTATTCCCCACAACGTTCATTCAGGATTACTATGGCCAACAAGCATAAAAACGGAATACTTGTGTTCCATCATTGTGCTTTGATTTACAACAGAAATCACTAATTGCACATATTTTCAAAGTACTAGTAGCCTCGGCAGTCGTCGACCTATCGAAGACCAGAGGTTGTCATGAAAAGTTTCTAAGAACATTTAGAAAATCTCACAAAGGTGCTTCAGAGACTGAAAGAAGCCAATCTAAAGTTAAGTCCTACCAAATGTAAATTATTGAGACAGGAAGTAATTTTACCTTGGACATGTCATCTCTGCCGAAGGTGTGTGTACAGATCCAGAAGAAAAAATGATCCAGAAAAAGTATTAGCAGTTGAAGACTGAAGATGCCCTGAAAATGTTTAGCAAAAGGGAAGTTTCCTGAGGCTGCTATATCTCTTCACAAACTGAAACTGACAGAAAATGAGCAAACGTTCTTGTCAACTATAGAACGTGAGGATGCATTTAACAGACTGAAGAAAGAATTTAGCATTTGCCATAACCTATTCTCAGCTTGATAAACCATTTATTCTTGACATGGATTCAAACAATCAGAGTGTTGATGCTCTTCTGTCCCCAGAAATAAATGGTCAGGAAGGTGTTGTGGCATACTGGAGTAAGTGTCTATCTAAACCGATGAGGAATTACTGTGTCACCAGGGAAAAATTGTTTGCCCATAAATGAAACCCATAGAACATTTCCACCATTACTTCTATGGGAGAAAATTCCTGTTCCATACAGATCATACATCATCGGCATAGCTCTAAAATTTCGAGACTCTTGAAGGCCAAATAACCAGATGGACAGACTCCAAGAATATGACATCACTCTCCATCATTAGAAAAGATTATCACATGGAAACACTGATGGCTTGTCTAAAAGATTCTCCCAGAACTGCCAATATTGTTCTGTGGTCAAAGCGAAATATGGACTGCTTAATCCAGTTGCAAATCAAGTTGCATCCTCCAACCCAGATTCATGGATTGACAAAGAAGTCAGTAAAGACTAGCTGTAGGAGAACCAAACTAGAACCATAATTCACTTAATGGAGTCTCCAAATAGGAAACCTACCTGGCAGGGTGACAAAACAACATTGGCCTTCTGAGACTCACTCCATATTCGAAACGGTGTCTTGTATCAGAAGCTTGAATCGGATGATGAAAAAGCATTCCAATGGCAGCTGATACTTTCAAGTTTCTGGATCCCGGACATCTTCAAAAAACTATATAGGAGACTGACAGGAGGCCACTTCAGAATAATGAAGATTTTGCATAAAGTTTGAGAGTGCTTCTGCTAGTGTAAAGCAAGGACTGACATGCAAAAGTTGCACCAGTCATGTTATGCATGAGCCGGCCAGAAAGGACCAAAGAAACACAGCAAAGAGAAGTTGCAATATTACAAAGTAGAAGCGCCTTTCGAATGCATTGTTTCTGACATCCTGGAACCTTTGTCATGAACTGCTGAATTTATCCTGTCATGAACTTACCCTATCTCTGATCAAGAGACTGTCACTGTAGCAAAGATAATGATACAGCACTGGATTTCCTGGTTTGGATTTCATTCTTCAGTTACATTTCGATCAAGGAAAAAATTTTATCTTGGATGTAATTAAAGGAAAATGTAAACTACTCGGCACAGACAAAAAACCCAAACTAAATATTTACATCTGCAGTCAGATGGCAAGGTAGAGAGATTTAAACTAACCATACTTTATAACCTCTTACTCATTGTATCCAAAACACTGGGATGAAAAGTTACTGCTCTTGTTACTAGCCTATCACAATGCTGCCAAAGAAATTACTGGCTATGCCCCATCCCAAATACTCTTGAGTTGTGACTTTCATCGGTCTTGTGATCTTTTGTTTGGTCATCCTCTGGATGCACCTTCATTGCCTGAGAAGTATATTCAAGATCTCCAGGTATAGTTTGAAGTGATGCACAGTTTTGCAGGAAAGCAAGTAAACTTGACAACGGAAAAGATGAAGACCTAATACAATATCAGAACTATGGACATCGATTCAACAAACATGACATGATGTGGTTATGGAATATGACTTGACAGAAAAAGACTCTTTCCTAAACTGCAGTCACCCTGGGATAGTCCTTAGACAGTCTTAACCCATTAGCCGCTGGTGTTGCGTTGACGCAACGGTCAAAATAAATGGGTATATAAATATAACTACCTAAGATATTTTATACCAGCAGATGATTTTGTGTAGGGAATATTATGAAGATTATTTCTGTACAAAAATATTTACCTTCAACAATCATTTTGTTTATAATAATTCATATTATTTTGTTTATAATAATTAATCTCATACTTAAAGCAAAATTTTCGACTGGGTATTTTTGCTGAAAATATTTAACGAAAGAATCGTTGTCTTTATGAGTGATATATTTTTAGTCAAGGTCACTGTTTATCAGAACATTACATCAGTCAGATGTTTATATTTGTGTTGGGAAGGAAGGGAAAATAGGTGTTGCGCTGACGCTACGTCAGCAGGAAACGGGTAGTCAATCTCCTTTTTCACTCATTCCTTTCAACATTCTGGTTCATGTTCTGGTTATTTAAAAATGCCTAGAACAAGGTATCTTACATTAGAAAGAAGTCATTCAAAGATTTTTTGATGAAGAAACAGATGATGATAATGTTAATAATAACCAGAATGAAACTGATATTGTTGTTGTTCCCCCAGAAATTGCAGAAGCTAGTGACAAAGAAGAAAGGAATGGCAACATTTTAAATAATGCTATTTTACCAAATGATACTGCTGGGGAAGTTGAAATTCACCTAAGAAGTAAGTTTCAGCCTTCTAAAAGCAGTTATAGTCATACTAAAAAGTTTAAAAAGCAGAAGACTGAAATCTTGAAGTGGATAAAAAAAGAACTGTTATTTATGTCTCAGGAAGAACATGAAGAAAGAGATAGAAGAGAAATTATAAAAGACAAAATACAGTGGAAATCTAGTGCGCAGATTTTCGATTTTCTTTTTTGGTTTAGACATTTATCTCTTCTCGTTGAACAGACAAATATATACGCTCAGCAGGGGGGGGGGGAAGAGAGACCCAGAATTTATTGCATCTGAAGCCTATATGAGAAGATTTATTGGAATATTATTGCTTACAGGATATCATTCTTTACCTCAAGAAAAAATGTATTGGTCTTTTGATAAGGACATTTCTGTTCCTGTTGTACGAGAATCGATATCACGTTTGCAGGACAGGAACATGAAGCAGAATTTGCATTTGACAATAGTCAAATTGACAATACTGATAAATTATATGAGGTGAGACCGTATCTAAACTTACTAAATATCACCACTTTTTACTACTGGAAATATAAAGTCTCTTTTAGATTTCAGACAAGAGAATGCATTATTCCTTTTGCAAACTCTTATTGAGAGTGCAGAATTAGCCAGAAATAAATCAGCAACAGGAAGACCTAGTAAATTCAGCATTCAAAAACCATTGCATGGAGATGGTAAACATTTTATCGTACAGTCTGTTGATAACAAAAGTGTTGTAAAGAGTATCATAGCCAGACTGTTTAGAGATGCAAAGTATGTAATGTATCTTTACATCATGATTGTAATCAAGCTTTTCATGCTTGAATCTTTCAGTTGAAATAATCTGTATTTGTAACAGAAATACACTGTATATTTTAATATTAAATTAATTACAAGTAAAGTGATTTGCAGATTTATAAAACGTTATACAGCTAAAAAGTAATCCTGCACTCCACTCAAAAGAAACATCACACGAGTACAATCCTACTCACTAAACATCCGTAGTCTTATTCCACTGACGTTGAGCAAAAGCAACACTCGCTTTTTCCACAAGTAAGAGCATTTTTTTTTTTTTATTTTCAATGTAAATTTATGTTATAAATGCTTAATTTAATACTTGTTATTATTTTCATGAGAAAAGAAACATTCCTTGTGGTTTTGGCTGTTAATGGGTTAAACAGGCTGAACGACGTTGCAGTTCAGATCCTTAAGTCATCAAATTCTAAGCCTAAAGTCATTCATTACGACATGCCAGCCCCTTACTATGGTCATACTATTTAGTCCCCATAGTATATGTAATGTAAACAGTAAATAGTAAACCTTAGACTATGGTCCTATGTGTAAATAAATTTGTAAACTCACACATTTATTTATCAATTTAGTATTTAATTTGTTATATGTTATTTGTTGACATTATTATTTTACTATCCCATCGATTTCCCTTAGTTGGAAGTAAGGTTTCCAGCCCAGGGGTTGTCCTGCCTGGAACGTACAGTTGCTGGTTAGAAAGCAAAGTTAAGAATTTTATACATATGTATGTGTATGTAAATAATTTTAGTGAAATTATATGCACATCATAATACCTCTTGTATAACATGACTTGAAATGCCTCAAAAAGTGAAGCTCTGTAGAAAAATAAGATTACAGGAACGAGTCCATTAAAACTGAGGTAAATGGGTATCTCGCCAAATTGGCTAGGTAGTACCAAGCTGGCATGATTTTGGTAACTAATTTTTGTTGGCAAATTTGGCAACCTCTCGGCAACATTTTGGTCATTTGATGACATCAGAAGAACACAGGGAACACATTAAAGGGGCATGTCACTTAAACATTGAAGTAAATGGATTATCCCTAAATTGGCAAGAGGCAAGGTATGCCAAGCTGGCGATGGTCTTGGCAACTCATTTTTGTTACCAAATCTGATGAGATACTGCCTACGGTTTGGCGAAATTTTTGTCCGTTTCCTGTATAATTGTAAATGGTCTAATTCCTGTGTAATTTTAACTGTATTTGGCCTAATATGTAACTGTATATGCCTTCAGCAATTTCGAGTAATCAAAGGTACTGGAAATTTCTCAGCAGCCAGGGAATAGGTATATATAAGAAGAGAGACAGCGTCAGTTCTCACTCCTTCGACCACGTCTGGCATGAGGGACTTATTGCCATATTAATCGATTTTAACTTTGAAAGAGAAATTATTCTGCTGATTTATTCCTACATCACTAATTGCAACTTCAAAGTGTTCGTTAAAGACTGTTGCTCGTCTCATCGACCCAACTTAAGTGGAATTCCGCAAGGAAGTATTATTGGCCTGATCATCTACATCCTTTCTGCTTCTGATTTCCCTAAAATGCATTACAATAACTCTATTTTGACCTGCTATGTAGACAACACTGCCCTGGCAGTGTAGTCAGCAAATATCAATTTCGCTATCCGGAAGCTTCTAGACTTTATTCCTAATATCGAAGACTGGTGTGGAAGATGGAAAGTGCTCAGAAATCTCAGCTCTTGATCAGTAGAAGACGGAAGAAAAATACTGCTATCAAGAACCAACTTATTCTCTTTAATGAACCAGTCCCCATTGTTTTTAAAGCTAAGTACCTAGGACTCACTATTAACAACAGGCTTACCTGGACCAACCACACTGATAACATTCGAACAAATGTACTCAAAATTATGAAATGTCTTTATCCTGTCCTAGGAAAATTCTCAGAACTCGATCTTGAGAAGAAACGTTTAATTTACATTTCAACAATTAGGTGTCTGATGACATATGTTTCGCCTGCATGGGCAGCTGCTACTCTGGATTTAAATAAACTACAGATAGTCCAAAATAAGTGCCTACGACTGATCACCAGCGACTAAGATTTAAAGATTTCCACCATTAAAGTCTTCCTGCATAAGGCTAATGAAAAGTTTTTTTGTGACGCTAAGGAATGCGAGTTTATGCAATTTTTCAACTATGAAATGCTATGAATTTACTATGCTATAAATTTACTATGAAATACGAATAAATTTATATTTGAGTTCAGGTAAAATACTGATTATGTTACCTTAAAAACTGCCTCCTAATTTATCGTGACAGGGGCAATTTTCAATGTCTCTGAGATTTAACAGAAATAAATGTGATAATGCTGTTATTAGAAACACTCTTTTTTTTTTAACCCACATAAATATCTTTACTTATATTTATGTCTGATTGAGTTTTATTTACTTAAAACCTACTATTAATATTATATATTTATAAAAACCACTTTCATAATTACTCTCACTTAAAGGAAAAAATGATGAAATCTTAAATAATCGTACCTTAGAATTTATTTAAAAAATATAGTTTAAAGTACTGAAAATAATTAAGGCTATTATTAATTATGCATATTTAATCTAAAGAAAAATTTAAAAACTTTAGCTTAAAGTACAGAAAATAATTAAGGCTATTATTTATTATGCATATTTAGTCTAAAGAGAAAAAATTGTATTATCTTCTGGTCTTCAAGAAATGATAAAATATTCATACTTTAGAAAAATACAAGGAATACAAAATCTTAAAAAAGAAGAAAAATATATTAATTATTAAGCTTATTTTTCTGCATAAATGAATATATAACACAAGGACATAATAACCACATTTTCACAACTGTTGCAAAAAGGTGGAATTGTGCAAACATTTAGACGTCGTGATACGATGCTTTCACAACCAAAATATCACCTGTGAAAGACGCAATAACAACATCTATGCAACCAAAAAAAAAAAAAAAAAACCTCATCTGCAAAGACGTAATAAAGACGTCTTTGCAATGGTTGCAAAACAGTGGAGTTTCGGGCATGTTAAAGATGACATATTGCAACGTTTTTGCACGCTGTGCTACTCGGGATGTTTCAAACAATCACCCAACTTTGAAATGAGCAACTGTCACTGCCCTTATATCTGCCAGATGAATTAAAAACATTCAGGAATGTGCACACATATGAAAAAGGGTTACTTTGAAACATTATCACTGAATCTATGTTAATCTGAATTAGTCTAAGAATTAATAAATACACTGAAGCAAAAAAAAAAAAAAAAAAAAGAGGGATTGCGACTGAACCTGAATAATCAGAGGTTTAATAGGCTTGCTATCATCTTTGTCAGCTTCATCTTTATTATCAGGTTGTTTCTGTATACTCCAAACAGTTTTACTGTCCTCATCTGAGAAGCTTGGTTCATTTACTAATGCTTGTTCATCACATACAGAATTAAATTCATTGGAGTTACTGTCCTTGCTATTGCTATTTTCATGATTAGAATCAGTAAATGTATAGGCATCTTCTACTTCTGCATTGGTTCCTGCAGCAGAAGGTTCTGTTTTTACAGGAGTGTTATTCTCCTCACATTCTTTGTCCTCTTCCATCTCTTGCTTCTTCTGAGACTTCTTCCCTCGTTGTGCTGGTTTGTAGACAATGCCTTCCATATGCCGCTCAAAAGGGAGAAGTAACCTATTAAAAATAACAAACAAGGTTTCAATAAATATACATTTTCAGGCAAAATAAAGAGCAGCTTATGTATTATTTTAGAAAGGAGAAACCTGCCATTGTAGAAATAAATATTTCAGAAGACATGTTTCCATTTATGGAAACTAATTTACCTTTTGCAATATTCTAATATTATAAAAATATACAATAGCGTAATTATACAAAATTTATTTTTTTGCACCAATTTGACAAGAAGAAAATTTGTAAAATGGAAATGTTAGTTAAAGCAAATAACCAAATACAAATAAATCATTTCTATGAAACTAAATTATATACTTTCTTCTGATTATCCACATACCCACCAAGAAATTGCTAAAATGTATTTATTCACCAGGCAAAGCAGTACACCACCAAAATAGTTATGTGGCAACAGAGATATGCAAGCAGCATGTCTGCTGTGGATGCCGTATAATGCCTAAGTTGTGCAATGTAAAGTTTGTGCAGTTGTCTGATTTTTTTTTTTTTTTTTTTTTTTTTTAAGCAAAAACAAATTGCTGTGCACTTGGGGAGAACAACAGCACAAAAAAAGAAACCTAAGTATGCACACAGCATAGGTTTGTTTGCACCATTGCACAATGCCAAAGATGCTGAGTTTGTGCAATTCTTTGATGCTTTTTCAAGCCAAAAAAAAAAAAAAAAAATTGTGTGCATGGGTAGAACAACAGCATAAAGAAGGATTTCTTGAAAAAGGTTAGTGTTTACGAATGTCTCTAGGTTTTTTAATTCTATTGATGAAATTTTACTGTTCTAGTACAGAATTCTTGCTGGGCTGCAATTTAAAAAATAGCTTGTTTTTGCCATTTTCAAGATTTTGGAAATGGCATTAGCTTGGCAAAAAATAAGTTAGCAATGAGTTTGCAAATACTTTCTATAGTCCCCAATAAGAATGCATCATTTTGGTAGGAGTACAGATAATCAAAAAGGATCCTAAATTATATCTACATATGATCACACATTTTTTTTCTGCTTTCACCCAAAGGACTGAGTAACATAATAAATTTTTTGTTGTTAAGTTTTTTCAACTGAAATAGTTATCACAAAAGTATCAGTTAAAACATCACATCTGAAGAAAACTCATTCGAATACTTTTTCCAAGATAATGAGAGATTTTCAGAATTTAACACATTAATACTTGTTGGCTGTTTTCTAAACTCAAACTTGAGCTTTGTGAAAGAAGGTTTAATAATGATGTAGAGGTTAAGATATTTACAGCTATTATGAACATTTTGCTAATAAATCTTTAGATTACCTTTTATAAGGAAGAGTTGAAGCTATGTATAGTAATTATGGAACATACTGCTAGCAGATTTTCAAATTAGTTTTTTAAGGGAACAGGATGCTAATTAAAAGGTTTGTGTTAAAATACAAGGGGACTACAATGAAAAGTAATTAATTAATTTTTTTTCTCGCCTTTCAGAAATAAATTATATATTTGAAACTTTTGGATCATATCACTTAAAAGGATAACTGTTTTCTATTACTTAATCAAATAGTCCTTGAAAAACTTTTAAAAACTTTAAAAATCATCAAAGAGTAAATAATTTTTTAATTAATCAATCAAAAATTTTCAAAGAAGTTCAAACAATGATTATGCAATAATTTTCTTCACCACACAAAAGTATAATTTGATTTTAAAATACTGAATTAAAGATTCATGATTTTGTATATAAGTACATGAACAGGTTTGTAATTCCATATTTGTAACTGAAAATTACACTTTCTTCTTTTGTTGCATTTAAATCAATTTTAAAGCATATTATACAGTAACTTGGCAAATATACCTTTCATAATGCCTTCGAGTACAGGTTGCCGCACTGGTACTGCCAGGATTACCTCCAAGCTCATCATATACATGCTTCCACAATTTTTTTCCAGTTATCTAAATAACATAAAAATGAATAAATAATCATAAAGTTTTATTTTCATAATTTTAAAATGAACATTAAAAACATTTATTAATGGAAAAACACCTGAATTAAATAGAATGCAAATTTTTGTGTTGGCTTTTCTACATGAAGACCAAAACAATTACATCAAAGATAATAAAAGAAGTAAATAACACAGTACTAAACATTCAAAAACATTAGCAAACAAGGATATACAGGGTGTTTCAGTAAATTGGTTATAAACTTTCAGGAGAGAGTACACTTACTATGGAAAAACATACAGCAGTGCATGGTTGGAAATGCTTTCTTGGCATGGTAGTCATGACACAAAACACAAGAAAGGAAGGACATAAACAGGGTAAAAATATATGTTTATTATGCTTTAGTGCAGCAGACACCAAGAAATAAGAACAGAAACAGACAACTCTCATCAAAGAAGGCGTTTGAAATTACATTCAAAACATATTCTCAACATGGGATCATCAGAGGTGGTCTGATGCACTAATCAGCAAGATCGCCAGACCTTACTTGCATTGACTACTTCCTTTGGGGTGCATCAGGACACTTGTGTATGAAACCCCCTTTAACAGAGCTGAGGAACTTGTTGCATGCATTGTGGTACTGATCGGGGAAAAACGGGATATGTCCGCTATTTTCCAGAACATCAGATCTTCCAGATGATCAGAATGTGAGGCCTGCATCACAGCCTGGGGTCATAATTTCAAACACCTTCTTTGATGATAATCGTCACCTGTTTTTGTTCTTATTTCCTACTATACTAAGCATAATAAACATGTTGTCTCACTCTGTTCGTGTCCTTCCTTCTTGTGTTTTGTGTTGTCACTACCACTCCAGGAAAGCATTTCCAACCATGCACTGTTATGCGATTTTCCATCGTTTAGGTGCACTCTGTTTCTCCTGAAAGTTTGTACCGTAATTTCCGGAAAAAACGGTGCGGCGTTTACGTGTTTAAAACTTAAATTTTCAGCGGGTGTGGCATTTCTACCCATGTGGCGTTTAGGTGCACTAAAAATAAGATATTTCCTATGATGGTCATTGTATATAGTTTGAATAACTTTGTCATTGTACATAGTTTGGATGGCCTTGTCATTGTATACAGACTGGTGTTGTTCCCACACAAAAGACCACTCAGTTGCTTTTTGCGAACGTTATTTTGTTTATTTTCTTTCCCTTAAATGGACCTACATGCCTTATTCACCCTAAACGGGATCTCAGAACAATAACATTCTTTTCCCTTTCAAATCAGCATTCTCGTCATTTTGAACAGTCTCTCTCCTCTGCCATTCGATGAATCTTTCAGGACCCATCCTCTCCCCACCCCTGTCTTTCTGCAATTTTTTTCAAAGGTGGAGGGACATAACTCCACCTGCCTCACAATAATGACTCTGTCATTTCCCCTTCAGCATGAATCGATTTTTCTTGGCATTCTGCCAGATACAGATCCCATCAGTTTGTGTATAAGTACTTGTTGGATAGTTTTTAAGTAAGAAGGGAGCGGAAAATTTTTGAAAATGGCATCTAAACGGCACAGAAGCTATACTGCTGGTTTTAAGCTTAATGTAATTTCACGTGCTGAACAAATTGGAAATAGAGCAGTAGCTCAAGAGTTTGAAGTGGACGAGAGATGTATTCAACATTGGAGAACTGAAAAAGAAGAATTTAAAAATATGCCACAACAGAAACGAGCCAAAAGAAGTGGTACTGTAAGGTGGCCGAATCTAGAGGATAATATAATTGCATGCTCATTTACTTGCAAACTAGATAAAGGAGCAACGAAAAAAAGGAATGGCAATTTCGACTGTAAAAATTCGCTTACAAGCAAAATTTATAGCAAAGCAAATGAACATAAATGATTTCAAAGGAGGGCCTTGCTGGTGTAGCAGATTTATGAAAAGAAAAAATATTTCTGTGCGTACTAGAACAACAGTCGGGCAACAATTACCAATGGACTGGCAGGATAAAAAGGCATCTTTTCTAAAATATGTGACAGATATTATTGACAAAAGAAAACTTCTTCGTCACAGATAATAAATATGGATGAAATGCCGTTAGCTTTCGACTCTCCTGCAAACAGAACTGTTGATGAAACTGGTGCAAAAACTGTACCTGTGCTTACGACGGGGCATGAAAGAATGTCATTTACATGTGTGTTAGCTTGTGCCGCAAACAGTGACAAGCTAAAGCCAATGATCATTTTTAAACGGGAAAACTATTCCAAAGAGAGATTTTCCTAATGACGTAATTATTTGTGCAAATGAGAATGGCTGGATGTGTGAAACAATCATGCATGAGTGGCTACAAAAAGTTTGGCAGTGTCGTAAGGGATCTTTTTTCCAACCAAAAGGGTTATCGATAATGGATTCCATGCATGCTCATTTACTTGAGTCAGTGAAAACCAGATGTCAAAAATTGTCTATGACCATAGCAATAATTCCTGGTGGTTTGACAAAAATCTTACAACCATTAGATTTGTCAGGTAATAAATCCTTCAAAGCTGAAGTCCAAAAGCGGTGGGAGTGTTGGATGAGTGAAGGATTGCATACAAAAGCGATAAAATTCATAGAGCATCTTATGAAGAAGTTGCAAAGTGGGTAGGAAGTGCGTGGAAATCGGTAGAAACATCATCAATAATAGCTGGGTTCAAAGAAGTTGAAATTATATCTTTAGGTAAAGAGACTGTAAACCAAGAGGACGAATGTGACGATCTGGAAGACTTGGACTTGGATCAGGATTTATTAAATCTTTTTAATTCAGATAGTGAAGAATCAGATTTTGATGGCTTCATATGATGTATAGTTTGCTGTAGTTCCTTTTGTAAACAAAATTTAAAATTTCTTTTGTAATCCAAATTTAATATTTCGTTGTTGTAACATTTTTATAATATAGTCTCAGTATTACAAATATGGACTTCTTTAGTGGGTAAATATAAGTATATTCATGAACGTAAATATATTTTCAACATTTCTTACCTTTAATTTATTTTTGAGTTATGGTTTCATTTCATGCATTTTTCTTAACTAATATGTCATATATCAGGACATAGGTTGAGATTTTGCATCTATACGGCCCACGAGAATGTCACGTACAATTTAATCTATTGCGGCGTTTCTGTGTAATTTTAATTTTTTTCCCGCCATTTTTCTCGAATGCGGCGTTTACGCTGATGCGGCCTTTCTTCCGGAAAATACGGTAACTGATTTGCTGAAACACCTTGTATGTAAATACATTTCATCGATTTGGAAAGTTTCACTTCTCAAAAAGCACTGAATTTCAAATTTTGAAATGGCTTTGTTACAGCACTTGTATTTTCATTTATCGTCCCAAAATTTTATATGCCAATACAATTATCAGAAAGAGGATTTTACGCAACATAGCTTGGTAGTTTACTGTGTACAAAATTAGAACACTGCATATTCTTGGTAAAATAATGACAGTTTTCTTTTCTTTTTTAATGCAAGAAAATATTTGGGACTAAAACGTCTAAGCCATTATTTGAAAACAACAGACAGGTCAGAATTTTTTTGGGGTTCAATTCACAATTACTATGTATACCGATAATAAACATGCATACTTCATAATAAACATTTTTAATGAATAATAATACTACGAATTAATTTAGTTATCAATGAAAGGGCTTTGTGTTACAATGAAATTCCCATATTCAGTACAGAAGGATTTTAATATATTGTGGGGAAAAAAAAATATTACAAGCCTTGAGGACCAGAAATAAGTTTCTCATTAAGAAGAGATTTAGAAACTGCTAATCTTAAGGAAAGAGGATACTAAAAGAATAGCTGAAGAAGATTCAGAAAGAAAGCCAAAATTTGGCTACAGAATAAAGAAATATATTATTGTAAAGTATCCTTAAGTAACTTCGAAAATTCTCATAAAAGTTTTAAACATTTATTTAATTATTATACATTATTCTAAGATGAAAAATAAGCTATTATTTGATAAAAGCATTATCACTTTGTCACACATTTTTAAAAAATATTTAAAATTTTTATTCATAAAACTGTATTAATTATGATAAAACTGTATTGTAATTTTATGAGTGGTTATTACACACAAAAACACAATACAGTTTTATCATTTAATTTCAAAGATTGATCATCCTGTCAACCTCTCGAAAATTGACAAACTCAACTGATCTTGGACTAACAGGATAAATTTGTTTACAAACAGATTTCATAATTTTATAATAAATTTTGTGCTTTGTTTTAAAAGTGGAAAGATTATATATGTTAGTATTTTATTATTTTATAATATTAATCTTGCATTTCAGTAATTTGCTAAGCAGAGAGAAAAGGGAGCATCTGAAGAATAGTCAACTAAATTTTAAATGCTTATAATTTTTTTTAACATATCCATACATTTATTACATTTAAATTCCTCAAACAAAAGATGGTATATGGTTACTGAGTGACTTTTACACACTTCTAGACTACATTTTTAAAGATTAAAAAGTGGCCAAGTATTTGCCCCAAAAATTCTTTAATGTTTGAAAAGGCTATGAGTAAATGGTATTTTCTTGACTATACTTCCAAAACGATCCTTCCACTTTATACTTTGACTCCTTTTCTTTCAATATACATAGTGCCAACAAAAGTCCTTACCTGACCTTAATTTTCACAACTGTTGGTCATACTTCTTATGCCAAAAATGCATTACATAATGCAAATATGCTTGTTTTGGCATTTTTAAAGAAATCAAATTGGTAAAAATTACAAATTCTAACTTTTAATGTATTCCTCCACCTCCCAATACTTATATTTAGGAAAATTTCGTACTTGTTATTTATAATTAAAAATATGCATATAACACTAAAGTAACAATCAAAAGACATTTCAAGATGCATGTATGTGTTTTTAAAATAATTGTGACAAATAATTTTCGAATGTATGCATATATATATATATATATGGTTTGCCCACTTGGAGGGTTAAATTGAAAGTTTGGTATATGTTATTTTATTTTATTTTGCAACAATAATGAAATAATGACATTTACTTTATATTGAACCACTCACTTTATCATAGCCACCTAACTTTTGGGCAAAAGAGTAGAATACATACAAGTCAACTGAAAGATAACATACAAAAAAATATCAGTTTTTGCAATACAATACAATTTCATACATGCATAAATAGCATATCTGAATCATCTATTATCAACATAATACTTAATAAAAATATCAGATTTATGATGAAATGAGTTCACTATCAATTAAAATCAAATAATGTTCACTTTTGTCTATTAATTAATGCACATCCAATATTATAAAATATTATTATATTGTCTTTGCATAATAAAATTTCATTAAGAAAACATTTAAAATCCATTGCACAGTCAATTAATGTTAAATATCGTTTACTCACTTTGTTTAAACCCGAGATGAGGTACCCTATGTATAGGAGTGTTCCTCTTTTTCATAAATTTGAATAACCTTTGCAAAAATTCTTGTTCATTTTTAATAGGTGGCTGTTTTAAACCATTTGTTTTTTGATTATTCTGGAAAATAGGTACAAATAAATTACTCAGATTTAAATTTAAAATTACTTAATTTTTTTTTAAATACTTCACAATTATTTAACATACAAATTCAAATAATACCTTCACTTCAATTTCTTTGCATTCTTCTGAAGTGTTTGATTCTGGGGAAGTACTTCGTGCATTCTTTGCCTTCCTCTTCTTGCGTTTTCCTTTTATTGTTGGAGCTAAAAACATTAAGTCATGATTATTATTCATGGAAAAAATAAACTCACCATGTAAAACTCAACAGCTAAACACAGAACTATTTAATATATACAGGTAAAATAATACAGTCAAAAGTCGTTAATTCGGACACCCATAATCCGGAATGATCTATAATCCGGACCTCAAAGCTACAAACTTTCTGCGCGTGCGTCACGTTGACGCCTGCACATAGGCGTATACGTGTGCACGTAAGACCTTTACGGCTGCGAATATGCATGTGCGTGTGCGCATAAAATGTTTACGCATGTGAGTTTAATGTATAACGGACGGTATAAGCTAAGCTAAAATTATCTAATTCAGTTAATGTTGCTGATTGCGTTGTTACTTAATCTTCGAATTGGATCCGGCTTATTATTTTTGCAGACTGTTAGAGCAATTTTATAAAAGTAAGCTTGAACTTTCGATTATATCAAATAGAATTTCCGATATATATTTGCTAATATGTAAAGGATCTAAAGTGAAAGTATGTTTCGAAATCCGAAATCTGTTTATCAATTTCACGCTGCTCGGCGGGGGGAACGCTGTGGCGCGCAATGAATTGGTAGTTGATCTGTCAGCACTATCCTTATCTTCAAGGCAGATGTTTTTATTTTATTTGGCTTATAATTCCTTACTAAGTGTAGTATTTCATCTCGATGTACTCCGTCTTTGATATGATTTAAAACAAGTTCCTCGTCATTATAATTCGCTTCTGATAGTGAAGAAAGTAACAGAGGTTATTGAAAACGAAAAAATTTCGATTGACAAATTAGTCGGTATTCTCGACACAGCAATTATAGGACTTGAACAGCGGAACTTCGTAATTCAACAAGAAATTATGTCTGTTTAATAGAATTAAAGAGAAAGTATTATCACATGAAACAAAGCAACTTAAACAACTTACATTGAAAGAAATGTTTAATAAAGTAAACAAATAAATATTAAGCTTTTTCTTTTTGTAAATTTTGATACCTTTTAGATCATAATTGTTCTATATTTCATAAATTACGGTTTCATATTTTTAATTTTGTAATTTCTGCATGCCATCTTACCAGATTTAAACTGATGATCTATAATCCGGAAAAATCGATAATCCAGAATCGCCGAAGTCCCGACGAGTCCGGATTAACGACTTTTGACTGTATCTCTGAATAAATTTACAGCAGATTAAATATTATTAGTATATATACATGTAATAAATATTGTACAATGTTGTTTTACACAAAATTTCATACAGACCTCTCAATTACAATTACAGACCTCTCTACACCTTTAAATATAATACATTGAACAAGATACTTGAACTAAATGTTATGGAGAACTTTACTTATGACTTCCATTTAGATACATCATATTTATAGGTTAGACACTTACTTGCTTATTTACATGTATTAGAATTGAAGATATTATATTAAAGATCTTTGTTGAAAGGATTAGACAAAATATTACAAAACTGGTAACTTTTCAACATTACTTATACCATAAATTATATCAGTGATACAATTCAAAGAAGAAATCTGAAGTTAATAGTACCAAAACGCCTTCCATATAATGGCATATTCCTGCAAATGGAAGTATATTGAATCATTTTTCATAAAGAGCTCACTGACTTTTTTTTTTTTTTTTTTTTTTTTTTTTTTTTTTTTTAAGCGATTAAATCTTATAGCTAGTATTTATTTATTTAAAACTTCTGACTTCCCACTTTCTAGTTTTCACATGTTCCCCAACACAAAGCATTCACCCTCTAATTCCTCTGAAACTATCTTTGAAACTTTTGAGAATACTCAACTTGATAACACTATTTATAATGACTCAAAATTTGAGGCTATCTTAATAAAGGTAACTGCTGTAAATATGAACTAACTTTATACTCAAAAAAACTTCAATAAGAAACTTTATATACATACATGTATGTAAGGCGTTAAAATTTTCATGATGGCAATTTCAGTTTTGATTGGCAAAAAGCTCCACATTTAACTAAACTGAATCAAAGCTAAATGCCCTACCCCAGCCCCACTAAGCTACTTCTCTAATGTACGAAATTCAAGAGCCATTTTAAAGTAGCCGCACACTAAGAATTCCACAAACAGAAATTAATCAATGAAGTTAAATAAGGAAAAAAAAAAAAAAATCCTGTGATTTGTTTGCGCTGTTGTTCTTCCTGTGTACACAGCGACTTATTTTCAGTAAAAATAAATTAGAGAGCTTTAATTCAGCACAGGGCACAAGCCAAAATAGACATAAGCTATGTGCATACTTGGGCTGCCATATAAAACTTCTGGAGGAATTCGTTGGTTGTCACATACTAACTATTTTGCTGACATACTGCACTGAATCGAGAACACTTCTTAAGTTTCCGGTGGAGGTGCAGATAATCAGAAAGTATCACTTTAATTTTTGATATTCTATATATCATTTTGCATTAAGCATAAATAAATAAACTCTTAATTAATTCCACCTAAATCTAGGCAGTAAATTTAATTTTATCTAAAACAAAATTTATTAAAGTGAAAAAGGCAAGTAAAATTCTTAATTAATACCTTATGATAATCTTCATTTAAGGGTACAATGTTGGCTTTGGTGACATTTGGACATTATTGCCAACAAGTTTCTCATAATAGTATCGAAGCAAAGAACCATATTTCTCTCTTTATAACTGTCGCCAAATAAATAGTTTGCTAAATGTCACCTCATACTCCTAATTGAAGATTAACTTATATTTTTAGCAAGCCCATTATAATATATTAATCTATTTGAATATCCATTATCAATTTAAATATTTCTTATATAGGTTCAACTAACCTAGATATTCACAGTTGAGCTCATGATGGGCTAATTCATCATGCTCAAAATTATCTCGGCAGAAAAGAACCCGAGTATTTGGATTTGATGCAGCAAATCCTCCTAGAGCAATAACTACAGAATTTTGAAGCCATTCATCTGTGTCACTTCCCTCTAAACGCTTCAGCACGGAACGGTAACGGCAGTAAGTTTGATATGACAGAACAATAACTTTAGTCTCCTTGTTGTTGTTTTCCACATCTACGGGGGGAGAAAAAAAATTATTACAAGTGATGAAAACTAGATACCATATATTTAACATAAATGAAAAGCATATTATTTGCAGTGATCAAGCATCACAAAATTGATTAACCTGAAAACTTAATTTACAATGTATTAATTCCCTTATGAAATTTTTTTACAGAGACTGATAAAGTTCTATAGAAATAGAAATGCCTATAGAACTTTGTAGGTGATCATCATCTACAGAAATGTATAAGAAACTTAATCAAATTTCATAGAACAGAATCTTTTCGAAATAATGGATGTTCTGTAAAATTGTATAGAAATCTTATGAAACTTTAAAACAGTATTCAATAGAAATCTGCAAGGTTTTCGAACTTTAATCGGAGCAAATTTTTAATGTCTGATGTATTGTATGGCATATAGAAAGGCAAAAATAAACATTGTACATTCACAAGTGTTAAATCATTTTTAAATGGATATTTTGCTTTTTTCATTTAGCTTAATATTTCTTAGCTTTTCAATTTAAATAAAATTTCATATAATTTTTTGTACATTGCCATATAATACAAAAATAATTAAACCTTGTAAAAGGGTAAAATCAATATAAAACAGTTAAAAGCTTATATTTATGCTGTTCATTATAAAATTTTAATTCCTGAAATTAAAGCTTTTATTTATTGTATTATATGTATTGCTATGATGAGAAATTATTTTTTAATTTTAATTAAACTTATTATTATTTGGTATGCTTTTATTTAAATATTTTTTATATCAAAACAATACTGAAATGTGTTATTAGAGAAGAAAAGTCATCTGTTGCCCACCTCCTCTACATTATAGATCATTTCAAAATTTAGACTTCAAAATTCTATTAAAAAATTAAAATTTAATTAATTTTTTAAACCTCCTCCCTTTATTTATTGATTTTAGAACACTTTTAATACTCAAACGCTTCTATAGGATATTTTGTGGAAAATTTAAACAAAAGACTTGTTTAGAATTTTTTAGAATTATGGCCTCCTTTTCCACAAACTGGATGTGATATTTTCAGTAAAAGTCTATTATTTGACTCTGTACACATTATATAAGATTCTATATGTAGGGCCCTTAAAAATTCTGAACAAATTTTTGTAGAACCTCAGCACAAATCTCTGTAGAGTATCTACAAGTATATCTATAGAATTTCTATATGTAACTTTATAAAAGCTATATCTAAAACTTATTGTATTCTATAGGAGATCTCTGACTGGTTTGTAGAAAACTAGGCCATAATTCTAAAGCAGTTCAACATCGGATTTTTTATGGAATTCAACAACAGATTTTTGTAAGGGTTTCCGTATGTCTCAAAAGACAATTACACAACATGCAATAACAAATAATTAGCCATTTTTTTAAAAGTATCATATTTTTCTCCCAACTTCATAATTTGAATCTGTGCCTGCATATATTACCACCTCAGCAACAATCATACTATGTTTAATTACATTTAATTGTACCACATTTAATAAATTAATGTTAAATTATCATGCTCCAGTAATGAGAATTCTAATTAACTTTAAGAAATATACTTAAATTTTACCCCACTATGTTAGTTGAAGCTTTTTACCAACAAAGATTGATTTTCATGTTTTTAAATGTCTTTCTTTCCTTTAAAAAAAAAAAAAAAAAATGAGAGAGAGAGAGAACAATTAATAAAATAGCAATTCATTTGTGATTTATTTATGTACATCGTTAAAAGCATCTAGTATACAATTTTCCAATTAATTTAAACTTCATAACACAGAATCGAAATATTAATTAGTCATCAATACAGTTGTTGGTCATATTAATAGGGATACTTAAATGCATGTTTAAATCAATTTTTTTTATCATTAACAGATCATCAACTGTATACAAATCATCAATCTGAAAAGGGAGAACATTCGTAAATCATGAGGTGGCAGGAGTTTCTAGATTCTGATTTTTCATATCATTTCACTGCAAAAGATACATCAGAAACCAGTGGCGTAAATAAGGGTATGCAAAGAATGCCATCGCATAAGGGCCCGAAGGCTTAGGGGGGCCTTGAATGTCCTGCTGAACTACATTTATATGTTTAAACGTAAAAGACGATGGATTCTTTTATAAATACTATAGATAAAATCCGTCTTTTTCTTAATTTTCAGGGGCCCTCTGCGTCATATGACTCAGTTAGGGGATCTTGGAAGCAGACAAAAAAAGCTGAATACAGTGTTATATACTCCATAACTTCAACTGAATACAAAGCAAAAAACTATATGCTGTTATTTTTATTCCCTTCTAGAGAAGAGCTTTCGCTGCCCAACCATTATAGTGGTTAGCGTCACTGGCTGCAGTGCCGAAGGGCCCGGTTTGAGAAGGCATGGATGTTTGTGTGTCGGTGCGGCATGGCGGCACTCTAAATATGCGGTGAGCCGAAAATCCTCTCATGGGTTTGGCAGAAAGTAAGACCTTCGGAACATAAGAATTAAAAATGTACCAAAATCTATTTCGACATGAAATCACTGAAGAAGATGAACTATCAGAAAATATTTCAATTACAATCATTAACAGTGACGAAAGGTCAGACAGTATTCCATATGCTCCTAGAGGTGTAAAAAATGAAAGATATTCATCCGATTTTGGTCATTATCCAGAGATTCTTACAAAGGATAAGAAAGGATTATAGTGGTTAGTGTCACTGGCTGCAGTGCCAAAGGGCCCGGTTTGAGAAGGCATGGATGTTTGTGTGTCGGTGCAGCATGGCAGCACTCTAAATATGTGGCGAGCCGATAGTCCTCTCATGGGTTTGGCAGAAGGGAAGACCTTCGGAACATAAGAATTAAAAATGTACCAAAAACTATTTCGACATGAAATCACTGAAGAGGATGAACTATCAGAAAATATTTCAACTACAGTCATTAACAGTGACGAAAAGTCAGACAGTATTCCATATGCTCTTAGAGGTGTAAAAAATGAAAGATATTCATCCGATTTTGGTCATTATCCAGAGATTTTTACAAAGGATAAGAAAATATTTATTTTAAAATTTGGCCTTTGTAGACGAAAAGATACCGATTTTCCCCGAAATAAAGACAGCATATCATTTTCTTCTGTTCATTATTACAGTGATTAATAACTCCGTTTTAGAGACAGATTTTGCTTTGTTATTCACTTAAACTTAACTTGACTATTGCGAACCATGTTGATTAACTTCAAATAAGGACAGATGTGGTCAACAGGAATACAGCACTGGTAAACATTACCCATAAGAAAAAAAAAAGCGCGAGAGAAGTTCGCATCATGTCGGAAGCTGTATTGAACAAAAAAATTGGGAGGCAAATGACTGTATTGATCAAATATGGGAAAAATCTGTAAAAGATGAAATCAATTTCAGTTAGTTTTAGGGAGATTAAATCCAGATAACTTTAGTAAAAAGTAACTATGGTTACATACATAGCTAATTTTTTAGCTCATGTCAAATTATTGGAAGAATATGACGTCGTAGAGACATTAGGGTATTTTTTGAAAGCAGGAGAGATGTTAAATGAGCAATGCCCTCGAAGGAACTCAAACCACAGACCTCTTGAATACATGCCGAGTGTGCTGACAACTACATCACGAAGGCATGCCAAGAAGACAGGAGAAATACCTTACAGCGTTATAAAAATGCTCTCAAACACTGTTATATATTTGAATTCTGCTACATAAAATGAGTTATTTGATTGTTTAAGTAGTATTTGTTTGAAAACAAAGCTTATGGATAAAATTAAAAATTCTCTTTTTTATTTCTTTGTAAGAATATCGTGTACAAAGTAATCGTAATCACAAAAAACTTCGGTTATCATATTTCAATGGAAATATCCATTTTGACCATTCCCAAGTCCATCTGGGGCCCACCAATGGCCGAGCAGTAAAGTAGCTAAACACTTGTAGTTCGGTCCAAGGTTCGAATCCCCCGAATGCCGTAGTTGCATGGCGTAGTTTTTTCCTCATAGTTTTTCCTTCGTAGATTTTCCCATGTGTGTCGTGTATATGAGCCAGTTCCCTTAGAAAGACCTCCACGAAGGCATCCCTTCCCCTAGGAAGATCACCCTCGAGGCTTTGCCATAATCGCATAAACCAAACCGAATCCATTTTTCGGGGGGGGGGGATTACGTTTGTATGTACAGACAAAATAAAGGACTCTTTTTTCCAAAATGAATTTTATCTCAACACTTGTATGTTCGCATGTACGTACGTATGTATGTACATACATGTATATATATGCATTGCATAACTCAAAAACGATTAGCCGTAGAGTGTTAAAATTTTGCACATGGGGCTGCTATAATATCCATTTCTGAACTTATCTCTTTTATTGCAGTGTACATCTATATATACCGTATATACCCACGTATAAGTAGAGATATTTTGGACAAAAAAAAAGACTTCAAAGTGGGGGTGTCGACTTATACGTGGGGCCATAAAAAATTAAAAGAATCGGAAGTTCAAAAATTTCTTTATATAATGCAGTTGTTTTCTCCCCGCGCTCAAATTGGACGACTTATCAAATAAGCCACTTACTTGAAGTAATTTCATGACTTAAATTATGTGACGAACTAATCACAGAGTTTGATACTTTAACTAGAGTACGTTTCGATTAAACCAAAGAATTTTCGGCCCCCGAACAACTGATCAATATCGAGCAATAAAAAGGTTTCACCAACACGCCAAGAAAAGAGAAATGCAGATAGTCATTTTTAAAGATCATCCGTTGATCATTTTTAAAAGAAAACTTTACCGAAAAACGTTGTGTTTCCATCAGGTGTGCTGGTTCGCGCCCATGAAAAGGGATGAATGAATGCTGACGGAACAGCCGATTGGCATGTGTGGGATAAAAGACCGGGAGCAGCTTTCAAAAAACTTTCGCTTTTAGTACAGTCAAAAGTCGTTAATCCGGACTCGTCGGGACTTCGGCAATTCCGGATTATCGATTTTTCCGGATTATAGATCATCAGTTTAAATCTGGTAAGATG